AAGGCACTCAGCAATATATTGTCATCTCACCAGTAGGTGGTCCTGGCCTAACCCTGGGAAACATCAGTTAGGCACAAGTTCCCACCCCTGAGAGCAAAGTAACAAGTGTAGCGTCCGTTCACTAGGACATGGGAAGTCTGCCGAACAACCTGTTAAATCATATGACACTGCTACAATTCCCAGGAAAGGACTAAAAAACGAGATCACAGGAAAACATTTACGTTGGATAAATTAAAATCTGGCAGGCTCGAGAGAAGTATTTTAGTGATAAGGGCATTGGATTTATGTACGTCTTTTCACAACTCTAGCGGCGGGGAATATGGTCAGATTAAAAGCAATGTGTTAGGAGGCGGATTTTTTAGCAGAAGCCGTATGACAGGAAGGCATTTAGGTTGGACACTCGAATAGATATAGGGTGTCTCTAAAAATGCATACACATTTTAAGTCATTTTGAAATTGGTGTTTACCATAATTTTCTTATTTAAAAATATGTAAAAACATTTGCAGGTATCATTTTATTGTTTTCAATGATCATAACACTGCTGACGACGCAAAGCAACGGAATCGAAGCCACAATGAAAAAGTTACCTTGGTATTCGGGTGCATTCATGTTAAATGGCTTTTCTCAATTTAGCCATTGTTGCAATAGTCAACATGCAAAGAAAAAAAAACAACAAAACAATACTCGTCAACATTTTAACATTTTTGAAACAATAAAATTATAATAAACAGTAAGTTTGCAAGTTGTTACAATGTGTATACACTTTTTGGGACACCCTGTGTGTTTAGTTAATAGTACATTGGTCACAGTAAATGCTAAACTGGGGCAATGTTCCTTTGCGCTCAAATGACCAATTTTTGCTGTGTCCTAGCATTAAGGTCCCTTCGGGCTAGCAACTGTTAAGTATGTTGTTTAGGGTAGTTCAGTTGCTAAAACTAAATCACGTGAATGCTTTTCTGTGGTTCAAATGCTGCCATGAATCGACCATATGTTCTAGAAGGAAGCTGCTTACACTCTTATTTTGTCTTTGTTCTCGCATTGTTTGTAATGGGCAATGACTCGTACAGCCGATATCACTTACTCAACAAGATGACTTTAATAAAGAAATGAATATGAAGTTGTTATGGGCTGACAACCGTCATCATCCAAGACCTCTGCTTATGCTGTCATATTTTGCATTGTCGCTGCACTACCTGCTGGTAGTTTAATACCAAATACACAATGCATGCAAACGGCAAAAAAACAAAAAAAAATGCTGCAAACAGTAGGAAATGTGGCGATGGCCTATTTCACTGTGCCTCAGAATGGTTAATGACTTAAACATAAGGGATCAGAAGGTGCGATATTGATTTACCTAGACCTTTAGCAGTGATAACAGCTCGTCCACTTTTACTATTTGCTACGAAAATGCAGGATTGGATTTAAATTACGTATAGGACTAGTAAGCAATGAGCAATTATATCCTGTGATTGTAACTGTTTCCAAACGCCACTGTAACTTGCCTCTTATATCAGAAGAAGTCTTCTTCAGGTAATATGTACGCGTAACGATTGTAGGAACTCCTGTGTAGCCATCTAAAAGTGCGTTGCAATTATTGTTGTTCTTGAGTCACAAGCGACAATGTTTGCCGTCCAACAATTACCAAGGGCGCAAGAATGGGAATGCACGGTAACTCCATAAGGGAAGATAAAGTTGTACGGGCATGTATAAATCGGAGTAATCAAAAAGTGACTCCTCCGAATGACGTGGTAGAGTCATAATCTTAAATTCTTCCTGCGCGCCACCACGTGTATTTTGATGTCCGGACTACGTGCCGGCGAGTCGGTTAGGCTCTCTCCTAACAATTTTGAGGTTAGAACATCCTGGGTATAAGGGAGAGATACACAAAGGTGGCAATTTCCGACTTCACTGCCGTCAGCAGACTGAGCCCTCGAAATTTGTAACCCTCTTTTACTTATTCCTACAGCCGCTCTGGCTTATTGGCCATAATAAACCATTTATACCCTGTCTCAGGTGTGGATCACGCGAAATTCGAACCCACCACCGTTTCGTAATCATATGTTACAATTCGACTGCCGGTTGATATATCGGTTTCGGAAGTTCAGTTTTTTGCAAAATTTCTGAGAAATTAATTTATGTTTTCGCTATAGATTATTATTTTCAAAGTGTGTATATGCAAACCAAAATGTGATGTTTATATTTTGGGCAAACTCAATTATAGATAATGGAATAATCGCGTAATATATACATCTTTCCTGTGGATAGATAGTAGTATACATTTTTAATTCACCACACTGTATATATTACGTGGTTGTCCCACAGTGGCTGATATAGCTTGGGCCACATAGATATATATCACATTTCAGTGTATGCCTGTTGACCTTAAATAGCGATAGCAGAAATGCATTTCTAAGAAAATTAAAAAAACTGAACTGCCGGAAACGGTATATCAACCTGCAGTCGCAAAGCGAATTGTTACATATTGTTACGAAAGGGTTTCGGGTTCGAATCTTGGGTGACCCACATCTGGGATACGGTATGACTTGCTGATGATGGCTAATACGCCAGAAATGATAGTTCTTGTCTCTTTGTCCTTGTTGGCCCTTCTTCAAAAATATATCTAATGAGGGTTTCGACTTATAGAAATAAGTAATTTGGCCGACTTATGAAATACTCTGCGGTTTTGGTGGGATTCGAGCGCAGCCATCGCTCTAATCACCACTGGGATCCGTGCGTGTATGCACACATGGGTCTTTTTACCTGCCCGACTTACGGGAACTAATAAAATCCATGAATCCTAATACAGTCAGCTGACTGTCTAAAGACCATTTCCTAATACATTCAAAATAAACTTCACCGGCTGATTACCAAATGCAGTTATTTTAGAAGCTCGGGGGAATTGGTATTTTGAATAAATTATTTGATCCGACTGTTTAACTGGCAGCCTCGGTGGAATGCACTTTCCCCAACTCAGGCCAGCGACGGCAATGCTTTAGTACAGCCAACGCTTTACAACTTTGAGCAACGAAGCTACGCCGGTAGCGGTAAGTGTAATCCAACGTCCCCTCCTAGAACGTGTGGCATGCAAGGATTCGCATTTTTAACCACATCGCATCCGCCGATGATTTATATGGCCTTGTACGTTTGCTGTTTATAAACTTATGTTAATTTTTTATTTCTTTTTAAAAATTGTGATTTACTGATTATTCCATCAACGCGAACAAACACAGACCACGCGTAAATACGTTCGTTTGCCAAAGTAAGGTGTTAGAATGATTGATAACTAATATGACCTTTATCTGTGAAGTGGTGTAAGTACCCAACAAATATCAGCCTTATTTTAATAAATATTTTGGTTACTTATTCACACCGAGAGGGTTGAGTTGAATATGGGTATATGACAGTTGGGAACTGCAAAGGCTTTAATGCTCCCTGGAATAATATTTTACCAACCTCTTACATTTAAAAAACGAAGCTGAATAAAAACTGCTGGGACCGTCTGCCCGGTGGAACACTCCACCAGCAACTGGTGAAAAACGGCCTACCGAGAAAAAG